TGTGGACTTCAACTCCCAGAATTCCCCTGGGGAATTCTGGGAGTTGAAGTCCACACATCTTAACGTTGCCAAGTTTGATAAAACACCGCTCTAAAGTCTAGCTTGAGGAAGACGGAAAGACAGTAAAGTTGATGGTCGCGATGTACTCGCAGTTCTAGATTCCTACATGAAGAATATTCAAGGAAATATATTTTGAGGGTTTGCCCCAACATGAGATATGCTCCCGTTAAAATGTATGTGACACGGCAATGTCTCTCGTCCATAGAAATGGCTGGCTCACCTATCCTCTTACCCGCGTAATAAGAAAGCGGTCTCCACAGGGGCACGGATAGCTGTAGGTCTCCGTCTCCTCATCGTACTCGAAGTCCTCTATCTCCACTTCGTCGTGGAAAACGGACATGTCGCAACTCGATTCTCTGCCTCCCTCCGCCAAACAGCAAACGTGGCCAGCACCGCGCGCCCAAGAAAACCGGCAACCGGCAGTTAAAAAAAGTAACGCTAAACCTCGCACACCACCATATTTGTTCCTGATTGAACCACAAATGATTTCCAGCCAATAAGCCTTCAAGGCAATGAGATTGACACCATATCTCGGCGCCTGACATCCAATAAGAAAGAGAGAGACAGAATTCGTGGAGAAGACAGAAAATTGTAGAGCTGTAAAACGATAGGAGGAAATCCTGAATCACCGCCCAATGCGTTCGGAGGGGCGGTGTCATCTCATTAAAAAAAAAAAGCGGCCAATGAGACTCCAGGTAGAAGAGGGCGGATCACGTTCAAGCTCTGTTGGGAAGGAGCACGTCAGAACCCTGGTTTACGTAATAAGGAAGAATTCCTATATCCCACCCCTAAGTTATAGAACTAGAAACCCTATGGAGCAGTGTTTCTCATCCTCGGTAACTATAAGATGTGTGGACTTCAACTCCCAGAATTCTCTAGCCACCATGTTCCTGCGCTTGAAATCAATAGCCGCCATTTTTAACCTCCACATCGATGAGTAAGCTTTTTTTCGATCGTCTCATTGAGTCCACAGTAATATCGCTCTGCCCTTGACCTCTCTGTGGAAAACTTCCATTTACTCTCTCGTCTTAAGAGTTAGGCGTAAAAAGCATGAAACACGACAAGCTTTTTTTTAAAAAAAATTCGGTCACCGACTATCAAAAGCGCGAACCATTTAAAACGGAAGTGCCCAAATCAGGGACGGAATGCGCGTCTCTTTTAGGGACCGTTTCCGCTAAATTTCTCCGGATGCCGGTTTTTTACTTGTAGTTTTGAGGAAGACGCCCGGGTGTTATTGCTGGCTTTTCCTGAGTCATGTAGCTAGGCTAGAAATTTAGCTGGAAGAGGCGACATTCAAGGCAGCGGTCGGAGGTGTAACAGGGTAAGTGTTGCTGGGGAAGTAAATGCCGTCTGTCAAAGCCCCCGCTCCTGAAGAGAAAAGGGAGATCCTTAATGAAGGATTAAGGGTTCGCGGTCAAAAACTGAGATGCTGGATCGAGCCGCTGACCCGAGAATAGCCCATTTGGTGGGCACGTTTCGCCTGTGAGGTGAGTCGGACGAAGGGCGGGTGGCTAGGCCAGAGGCAGCCCGGTGAGCTCTGTAGTTGTGTGGGGAATACCTGTTCCTGCTCGTCGAGCCTACTGACAGTCTAAGATGATCTTTTCGTGTATTGGACTACAGATACTTCAGAATTCAACTCTTGTCAGTTCTAATAAGCAGGAATGGTAGTGACTTTAAGGCAGTGACCATATAGCACCCTAAACCATAGTTTGCCTAATTATGGTTAACAAAATCACAGTTGTCTGGGCTCATACAACTTCATAAATCATTAACCATCATTTATCAATCACAGTGGCTGAGTCCACAGAGCATACTAAGTCATAAACAAATTCTATTTTATCTTAGTGTGTTATGTGATCTGGTCTAAGAATTGTTACACTGAAACAGGATTTTTGAAGCTAATGGCATTCATAAGAGAGGAAAGGACAGAGGAGAATGTTCTATGTATAACATCAAATATTTAATTTTATTAGCCATATGTAATGGGAGCAGTCACAGCAGCCTATCCTTGGCTTATAAAAAGCTGAGTACCTGATTATTACATGAGAGATCACCAGGAAATGCCAAAGCTGTAGGATAGATTGAGAATTCAAGAAAACAACCTGGAAGAAGGGAATGGCACTCCATTTCCATAACTTAGATTAAAATGGGAGCTCTGAAGAATTTATTATTTTAAGAAGCCACACAGAAGAGAAACCAGTTACTGTTGTTCCAAATATTCTCTGATGTTGTAAGAATAAACATTGGGAAAGTTTTAATTACTGTTTCTTAAAGGGGTATTTGAAATATTTTAGCGCAAGAGATTTTAGGTGCCAGCAGATGTCACCGTTGTTCATTACAAATAGCTGATGTGGCTATGTTACAGAATGTGCCTGAAAAGGAAACAAATGCATATTATGTATGAACAACATAGTACAGTAGAGTTCTTATGTAATGAAAGCATAATAGGTGGACTGTTAAAGTGATCAGTAATAAATAAATGTAATAAATTGAAATGTTAGAGAAATATTATGAGCTTTGGGAAACCTTAAAAACTAACAAGCCTACAATTAAGTAAGCTTTCAGAGATCACCATCCACTTCATTAGTGATACGGAATGAAGTCCCAGAAAAAGAACTTGTTATATGTTCAGTTTCAGAAAAGGTGGGAGGAATGATGGGAAGGGGCAGAATTGCTTCAAAAATTAGAAGCAGAGAGACAAACTTTTTTTGGATGTTAATCATAGTTAATAGTAAAAATAACAGATTCTGTAACAAGTGCTGTTAAATTCAAGTTTTCTTTCACATAAACGTTCACAGGAATGAGTTCTGAGAATTATTTTAGAAGGATGCTATTTTGCATTATAGCTGTTACCACATAATACAAGCTGTCTGCTTTATATTTCTGCCATCTTCTCTTAAGCTAAAAGTATTTCATTTTAGACATTTCTTCTGGGTTGTGCACAATTTTTAATTTCTCTGGAGTACAGGTATTTCTTCTTTATTACCAGTATTTTGGAATCTCAAGAAACCTGAACTAAAGCAATTACTTTTACAATAATTACATTGTTTTATTTAAAGAATATACATGTAAATAGAACAAAAACAAAACAAAACATGATTAATTCCATTTAAACATTCAACCAAAACTATTAGAAAAAACGTTACACTGCAACCTAACAAAAAACTAAAGAAAAGTTATAAAATAAAAATAATTCAATAATTATATAGTTTATTTTTATGATGCAAAATTACTGTATAAATTATAGTACAAAGTATTACAACTCAGTTTTTAAACAAATTATAGACTACATAGGATCATATTGCCTGATCTTTCCTTTCATATGAGAAAGTGATGGTTTGGATCAAACCCTATTTAAAAACGGCAGGTCGAACTTTTTTCTTTTTTTTTTGAAGGAGGGAGAGAGAGTATGGGTCAAAAATGGGAGAGTCACACTTATTACAATCACAGTTATTAATGTCACATTTAATATCTTTGAAATATTACAAAAAGAATATAATTTACAAAACAGCTGAATGGCAATATATGTGGATAAAAGCATTGTGTTTTTTGTTTCCTCTGGAGGTTTTAGGATCCTCTGAAACTCTGATGGCCTTGGAAGCTTTGGAAAAAAGGTTTTCATAGAGGCCACACCAGCAATCAAATATTATCAATAATTTTTTTTTAATTACAAAAATAAATTTGGATAATATACAAGAAATTTGATTTGGGTAATATACAAGAAATTTGAAATGATCTGTCCTATATTACAAAATTAATGGTCCCAAGTGTTATGGAGCATCAGATATGTACCCTATTGCTTATGATTAGTAGTTACTTTTTGGCTATATATTAATACTGTAATAAACATGGCCTTGAGAGAAAGTTAGGATTTAAAGCTGCTAATGTTTTGTTAAATTATGTCCTCAAAATAAAATTTGTCTATTTATAAGAAGTTTTGAATCAATTACACCTGGATTGTTGCAAAAAAAAAGGGATTATGTATCCCTTGAAGGATGTTGTTTTCCAGGCTCTAAAGGGTGGTTTACCAATATTTGTCAACTCTCAGCCTTATGTGGTTGCTGTTGAATGTTTATTTGTTGGATGAATTCCACATTTTGTGTCAACTACTTTGAATGGTGGTATATGTCTGAGGACTCATCCAATTTATCATTTGTAACTTGTCTTACACTGTTCATTTTAATTTTATGAGATGTAGAAATAAAAATAGACAATATCAAATTTATCAAAGTAACGTAATGTTTTGACATTAACAGCATGAGGGATTAACAATGTTCAATTAGTTTGAGAGTAAACTTTACTAAACATAATGGGATTTTTCAGTAAATATGTATGGAATTGCATTAATGAAGGTTCTTAACAAGTTCTTAATTGAAATTTAAATCTTTAGTTTTATGATCTGGATAGTTCTAGCCCAGTTGGTAAAGGTTCAATGGGATATGACTGTGTTCAGGACTAGTAAATAATATTACTGCCTGACCTGCATCCTCCATCTTCTTGATGGAGTTCTTTGGGTTCAGTCTTTGATATTGGCTTTTCCTCCAACCTTAGTGGACAATTTTGAGAAGCTGGAGGATCCCGTATAATAATGAAATTAATATTGTTTCCTGCTTGGATGCCTTTGAAACAGCCACAGATTGAGAGGGGCATGATCTTTATGATGTGAATAGTTGGTTCATATATATTTTCTGTGATGTCAGCACTAGTCCAGAAGTTCATTTATTTTCTCTGAAGCATAGTGCCAATGAAATACTTCTTGTGATAATTTGTGTGCTTCAGAAGTTTACCGCCAGGCTGTTTGATATTACTGCCAATATTTGCTTATTAAAAAACAGATACAAATATTGTTTTAAATTGTGTTTGCAGGAACTTTTAACATAAAAGAACGCTATGATATGTACAACAGTTTTTGCTTTGCCTATATTAATTAGAAGTGCCAGTAGAATTCTTCCCTGCTGTTCTTCATACTTGTGTCTAAGACAGGCAGCTGTAAGATACTGCACAATAAATGGGTAAGCTATCAAATATTATTACTGTAAAAATGAAAATATTAACATAACACAGGCATTATTTTCCTTTAAAAATCAAAGAAAGAATTAGCTGCTGACTCCTATGTTCTAGAATATAAGGAAATCTGGATTAGCAGGCTGACTTTTAGGACTATAATTTTTAAATTAATAGATTTTTTTTTCAAATTTATTAAAATAAATCCTCGATAATAGTTTTTTTTAATTTTTAAATGTTAACCTTTTTATTTATTAAAAAAAATCAGATCACCCTTTATTCCATAAGATGTGTTAGTAAAAACACAGTATAATGGAACTATAAGCCATCTTCCATAAAATTGAGAGGAGACAAAGTTCTAAAACTGCAGCTAGAGGCAAAAAACAGTTTAACTACTTTGGCAAATAAAAGTGCCTTGGCCTGATTCTGAAAAGATTGTATTGCTTGGTGCCAGCCACGCTTTTCATAGGGAAGGTGTTTCAAAGTGAACTGGTCATAACTTGATGTACCTTCTCCTTTGAATAGATGGTGGAAGGTTTGGGGGGAGAAATCTTTTGAGTATTTTGGATTTGACCATTCAAGGTGAGCAACAGCATTTTGAATTGGAAACAAATAGGGACAGTTCCACTATGTAATTCAATGTTCAGAATTCTGAATTAACTAGTTTATGCATCATCTTCATGACAGTCTCATTTAAGTTAAGTTGCTGGATAGAGGACAGTAGCCAAGCTGTCCTCTATCCAGCAACAGCTACAGTTTAGGTATCAGTCAAAACTGATAGAACTGTAATATTTTAAAATGCATATACTGATAAATTCAGACAAGGCAAGAGGTGTTCCTGAGGATAACAACATTTATTTGGAGATTGTGCTTGTGAGGATTGTGTGGGTATATCATCTAAAAGTGAGTGGGGTTTTTTTTTTCCTTCAGAACTATTTTTTTTTGTTCAGAAATATACAGATCTCAGTGATTAACCATGTATATTTTAATAATCAAATAAAATTATTGTGTTTTTTTTGTTCAGTCCTCCTAACCATAGAATATCATAATATTTGCTCACCATTTATTCTTTATTCAGTCCTTTATTCATAAGCTTATCTCTTTTGGAGTGAAGCATTTTTATTGAACGATTTGGTACTCTTTAGTTTTTAAGTATGTAAAGCCTGATTAAATGGGAGATGAAGCATAATATAAGTTTCTGAAATTACTAAGAGTAGAAATAACAAAATAGTTTTCTCAGGGTTGACACTTGGGATCATGTGATAAACTTCGTTAGTAACAGATTTGCTACTTAACAAAAGAGGCTTAGACTGGGTTTATATATGCAGTGAAATGAGATGGTGATATATAAAAGCAACAGAATGAACTGTATCATTTTAGGATATAAATGGGAAATATCCTATAGTTTAAAAACTGGATTAGAGGCTAGATTCTAGCTCTTTTTCTGTTTTTTTTTTTTTTTATGATAGCATTTAGCATTTAAAAGATGTTATCGCTTGCAATTTGTAATACCAATAGAGGCGAATATGTGTAGCTCAGGGTTGAACTGTGGAGTCCTTGGGGGTCTCTGA